TGCAACTAGCTTGACATAAAACTGACTCAAAAATGTACGTCTTTAACAGGACTATCCTAGTTCATCTACAAACACAGTACTTGAAAAGATTACGAATCAGTAAAATAGATCACCTCCACCGGCTGCCCGACATTTTGTATACTGTCACAGTCATAAGATGACATTGTAGCCATTGCATTGTCATGACTGCTGGCAGAGGCAATCTGCTCCGAGACCAATTCATTTACACACCCACATTTATTGTTATTGATCTCAGGTAGTGTACATCATAATCTTCTTTTAAATATCTTCTTAAGACTCACTCACCTTCCCCTTTAAAACCAGCATGAATAATTGTATTATCTATAATAATATTAAGGATGATTAATCAGTTTCATATGTCAAGTTGCTCTTTTAAAAAGAAAAAGATGACACAAGGTTAAAAGTTAAGTGAACAAAGAAATAAAGAAGTAATGTGCTTGGCATATAAAAGCTCCATCGAACACAATATCAGTTTTTAAGGCCAGTCTTGCATTTTATAACCAGTGAAGCGTTTCCAATTATCACCTCTTTTTCACATAACATCCATGATATATGTCTCGCAGTTGCATCTTCTCCCTACTCAGCTGCATCTATAAAGCCATTCTTCCCCTGTTTTAGAGCTAGGTGCTGCTCGGATGCCATAAATCTTTAGAGCATGTCCCAGGATCTGCGGACAACATCAGAGATAAAGCTGTCACACTGACTCCTGGTGTCTTTTTGAGGACATCATGTCTGAGACCCTGGTGTAGGGTAGGGGGAGCAGTGAAAGGGAAATGTGGTCAGTGAAAAGCAGACAGAGAAGAAGCCAGTCAGACAGAGAATGGAAAGAATAGAGGTAAAAAATAAAGGGTAGAAAGAGACAGGAGAGGTTGAGGGGAGCAGAATGAGCACAGAATTGAAATTAGACGTGAGCGCTTTGGTGCGATAGAGAGGTTAACAGCCGTTCTGAACCTGGACCGTTCCTCGCTAAGTTTGGAATGGGAGCCACATTGTTCAGTTTTAAATTGTCCAGTTGTCTGTCTGTAGTTGTTACTCCAGATGTCCGCAATTTGAAATCGCGGGGGGGACTGAGGTCGAGGCAAAATGGCTGAGCTCCACATCACAATCAGGATATCTCTAATATGGATGTGTACTGCAAAACGTCTCCATGATAATTCATAAAATCATCAAATTGAGCTTCAGTGCAGCTACGTTCTGTTAATACTCTTATTGTTACAAATATATTCCCATTATTCAATATGTGAATTAGACTGTAATTTGTCAACTTGTGGTCATAGTGATGGTGAAGTTGAATTTGTGAGAGAGAGAACAACTGACAGCAGTGACAATGGGACACGGTCACATCCAGGAAAATCACTGTAATGACAAGTCTGCTGGGAGTCTAGTTAGCTTCCAGAGTCTGCTGCCACCACAGGTGGGCGCTAAATTCCAAAATGAGCTTTAACAGTCAACATCAGATCCTTTATAGGGCATAAGGCTGAAAATAGATTAGATGTGAGGAGATTTATCGCCTCCACTTCATATCGTCGAATTGATATTTTTAGCTTCAAAAGGTCAAACACTGCGTGACTTGTTTGCCCTGGTGGCATGCCTCTGGTATAAACTGTATGATCAAATCATCATGACACAGATTAAAAGTCACGAGACGCTAACCATGAATCATCTCCTGTAGATTGTATAAATACTACAGACGATTTTTAATCTCTTCAACTCATTCTTTTCCACTGAAGTCTTAACATTAGAAAGATTTTACACATCGTAAAAAATCTTTATATACATGTACTCTCCATCTACTCATTCTAGAGCTGCTGTAATGCACACACTGAATGAAATTTTCAGATGAACCCCCCCCCCGAGTGCACCTCCCTTGATATCAATTTTAACTCTGCTGGATGACTTGTGGACAGATTGTAAATCATTTTAAACATTTGCAGTAGTTGTATGAGAAATGTTTGTACAACATTTTTTGACAAAACTCGAGTTAAAAACAAGTCAAAGAAATAAATTGGGATTTGTTCTGGCAGGAGGAGTCGGTAATTTAGCAGCAATTTGTCAGGATCCATTTTGTTATTAAGAAGCTTCAGCTGTGAGACTTTTTCTTTGATAAATGAACACGGCATAATCAAGAATGAATGAGTATTGTAGCATCATTAAAACTCAAACTCACAGTTAAGTTCATTTATCTGGCATCAACAGAGATTGTTAACATTCACATAAAAAAGAGAGATTGCAATGTGTGTGGTGACACCTGAAGCCAGAGATGTGGCTGCATAACACTCCTATAAGAGAACCAAGGGGAGGATCCAGTAAAGTTCTTCTTTCTTGTTTAATTTTGTACAGAAATGCAATTTTCTTGTGATACTGGTGCTCAAAAGGTGATTTGTATAGGGATGAGGTGGTAGGACATCCCCTTTAAAATAAAATGACCCCAAAAAAACCATCCATTTTAATAAGCTGACAATTCTGTCATCCCCTTTGTGCCATCATTACATCCAAAGGGCATCGCAAAGAACCAGAGGACAGCGCTCTTTGCCTCGCCCTCTCTCTCCCACACAAACACACAGACCATACGTCACAGTCACACTGACCATCAACAGCAAATAAAATCTTACCTGCGTCAGTGGCTGTTAAAGCAAAAAGATTTAACTGTCTTCGGCAGGCAGGCAGGTTTCAGCACAGACTCACCCAATAAGCATACAGTTCTCCACTGCAGGGGTGTCGTCCTACACACCCCCGCCCCTGACCAATCGACTCCAAATGTTAATCATCTGGAGACACGTTCCCAAGCAACATTCACACCAAGTTCAGTGAAAATACGTCCAAAATGAAGAAATCTCCTACTGCTGATGCTTCTGTCCAGTTCATTATGGTGTATTTCAACTTTTCTAATACCAGTTAGCATTTCATCTGGACCAATTGAGCATAATCATAACTGCTGACATATGCCAACACATTGCTGGGATTATTTCTTTCTTTTTGTCTGCCAATGTAAAATGAATAGGGTTAATAGTAAGAATACAAATTGATCAGGATTAAAGAACGAGATATGAAAAGATAACAATTTGTAGTGTTTTTGAAATAAATTGATTAACATTTATTTTGAAATTCCCTTTATTCTTTTACTTTTTGTAATAGTAAATTTGGCTTTTTTTCTCTCCAGTCCTACTCAGGTTGGGCTTTCACTGATTTTCACACCCATTTTCGTAGCAGGGGCAGCTGCACAGTCCTGAACATTGAAAGTTTTCAATCCTGCTGCAGTTGTTCTTCCCCAGTAATAGACCTACATTTTAACATGGGGTCGGCACTGTGATTTCAGTGCACCCGCAGAGGTGTCTGATGTGTGTCATGTGTGTCTGATGAGCAGTCGGATGCGCAGCGCAGCAGGTGACGGTGTTTGTGTGTTCGGGAAGAGATGATATCGTCAGGAGCTGGCAGATAAGGAGGAGGATGATGTTTAGTGTGAGGTGAGAAAGGAGGAGAGCTCTGCTGTAATTCACAGTGATCCTGGATGTCTGCATTTATCCTTCTTAATTACTAACTTGCACTCATAAGATGGCTCTTTGCAGAATTAATTGTGTGTCGACTGTGTGTGTGTGTGTGTGTGTGTGTGTGTGTGTGTGTGTGTGTGTGTGTGTGTGTGTGTGAGAGAGAATAATGAGGCTTAAGTGGATGGCCGTGTTGTAATGAGCTTTCCAGAGTGATGAGTGGAACTTAGGGTGAGTGTTTGAATAGACTGCTGTAAGATGTATGTATGAGGAACTAATAAAAATGTGATGAGTCACTCCGTAGATGTAGATTCTCAATCTTTTTTTTTATTATTATACATTTTGTTGTAATTATACTGGAATATTTTAAAGAAATGACATATCAATAGGTGGTAAAAACATTTAAATCACTGCAGCCCATTGAATTCTAACACTAATGCAAATATTTTGCAAAATAAATGTTTTCATCTGCGTTTGGTCTCATCCACACACAAACAGCATTTTACGTCACTAAAACAAAGAGTTTTAAAAATGGTGCAGCAGTTTCTGTGTATCTGGGTAAAAAGCGGATTTAGTAAACAGTGACATTACAGTTGACTTTCACGCACGCCCACCTTTGCTCTGTGTGTGCCATAGATGTGGAAAATGTATCAGTTAAAAAGTACTGTAGACTATTGAAATAAAACTACAGACAGAAGTTGTGATGAAGTTTCTTACTGTGTAACATGCTAGTAAGGGTTTGCTTCATACAGAGCAGTGCTGCACTTTTTAAGCCATGTTTGCATGTAAACACCTTCACATTAAATGTGATAGTGAATCAGTTCTCACAGACAAATTCAGCTGTAAACCACCAGTCCCCACTGTGATAATTCAAATGTCCCTTCATGGAAAAAATGTTCGTTTTCTGTTCTCTTCATAAGCTCAGCAGTGATTTAGGAGAAGTGCTTGTGATCTTTTTTATCTTGAACCACTGCCCGAGGTGCTGTGGTGGGCCCTGGTGTAATTGTACTTTTATTTTCCAGTTGGCAGGCCTGTTATTAACTGTTCAGCAGCGCAGTTTAACAAATAAGGTTAATATTTCAGTAACATCTACACACCCACACAACTTAGGAGTTGGCTGTTCATTTAGTTTTGGCCTGAGAATGATCACAGAATCTATCAAATCATCACATGGGAAAATAAAACTGATTGAATGAATCTCGACGCAGGCCAGTTTTTACTTACTGCACTCCAGCAACCCTCCATCTATTTGAGTTGTTGTGTTTATGTTTATCTTTGAGATTACATATTGTCAGCATGATCTCAGTGTATTGTGATCTCTCCTGTATAATCAGATACGGCTGTTATGTACATGCACAAGCAGTATTTTAAATCCTGCAGCAATGAACCCATTTGTATGAGCTGTGAGACACTTTTCATCCAATGAGAATCAGCGTGTTTTTAGCAAGTGAGTCTCTGAGGGTATTTTAATTCTGTATGTGCTTCTCTCTCCAGGTGAACACAGCCATGCATGAAGCTAAACTGGTGGAGGAGTGTGACGAACTGGTGGAGATCATTCGCCAGAGAAAGCAGGTCATCGCTGTGAAGATCAAAGAGTCAAAGGTAAAGTTTTGCCACGTGGCCCATTTATACTCAGGTGCAGATCCAGCGAGAGAGAGAGAGGTTTGACTACATGGAAATAAGGAAGGGTTTAAGCAATAGTTTTAGCTGCACTGACATTGACGCCATGTCTCTGACCACCTAATAAATGCACGTCAATTCAAATTTTTGATTTCTACATGTTTAACTTCCCTTACCAGCTAGTTGTTAGCTTTCCATGTCAGCTGTTTGGCTCTGAGCAATTACCATACAGTTTGTTCTTTAGAGATTTTATGCCTCAGCACTGGCGACAGCTGTGGCCATAGGCTTTGTGTTTTAGGGTTGCCCGTCTGTCTGTCCTGTATCTCAGGAATTCCTCGAGGGAATTCTTTGGAACAAACTTTTGGACACCTCGTGTCTGGCCAATGAACACAGGGAACATTAGGAACATGAATGCCTGGAGGGGACGTTAATACACTTGGCACAAAAATCCACTTTGACTCAAGGAGATTCTCGGCTATAACTCAAGAATCCAAATCTAATTATTACAACATACACTTTATACAATTTAACACATTCCTTCAAAGACTTGACCGCATCTATTTTATTATATTAGTCCGGAGAGACATGGATGTAAACTGCAACTTGACTGGTTGGTGGAGGCAAACAACTGCCAACCAGTACCCTAACCGTCCCGTCCATTGCAGGAAACGGTGTTGACGGGAGCGTTAAGACAGAATCTGGTTATCTGTGTGTGTATCCAAAACAACGAGCTAAGAGTGGCTAAATGGCTCCATAAAGACACATAGTTGAAGGATAACTGTCTGTGGGTTTTACAGGCCAATTTGACAACACACATAACCATTTGATTTATTGTCCATATAAACCACACTGATTAATGGAGTTTTAGGTTTATAACAGAGATGTGGACTTTATTGCATTTACACCCCAGTGGTTCATTAATAATTCATGAGTTCCAGTAGTTATGTCTTGCTGCCATTTAAAGCAGCCAAACTGCCAAAAACATCTTCAGGAAGCTCTGGGTCGCTGTCCACTGGTACAGAGCCAGAGGTTTGTGATTGCTGCGGACAGAATATATTTGTCCAGGCATCTATGTTTTTTTTGGTTGTTTACCCAAACGAACCCCACATGGACGCTTGGGAGACAAGTGAGGAGAAAGAGAAAGAGAGAGAGAGCAGCAGCGTGTCCCACATGCAGCCAACCAACCTAAGAGTGTGTGGAAAGAATTTGAGGCAGCAGCAAAAACAATTCTGAACATTGTGCTGCTGTTTCAAAGATTTTCCACTTCTCACTGTTATGTGTGTGTGTCTGTGTGAACGTGTGTGCGTGTGCGCGCACAGTCCCTCCGATGTTAAAATGGGTGGTTTGTCCCCCTTGAGTGCCCATGGTTTCAGGACAGGCAAACTCTAAATCTCACCCTCCCAGAGGTGAGGTTTTAAGCGATTGTGGAGGATGCTCTGAGGCAGCAGAAGAGCTTTGTCGAGAGATGAAAGATTTCCAAACACTGAGCACAAGGACTTGAGCATGTGTGTGTTGATGTGTGTGTGTGTGTATGTGTGTGTGAGAGACAGAGGGAGGAAGTGTGTCACTGTGTGTCCGCAGTGACTGCAGAAAAAGAGCAAGGCTTGTTCTCCTGAGAGTCTGGGTGTGTGGAGGGCTGTCTGGGTGAGTGAGAATGCAGGAGATAGAGGTGAGAGTTTGCAAAAACACATAAAACACCAGAGGAGGGTTTGATTGATGTCAGTGTGCAGATGATGTGTTAATATTTAAGAGTAGGATGAAGGCTGTCTCAAGGAAGATTAATCAAATGCACTTTGAGTTATTCAAGTAATCTCTCTGTTGAATGTGAAGGAGAGGAGAGGAGAATAGAAGAGATAGAGAGGTGAAGGAGATGAAATAAGAGGAGAGGAGAGGAGGAGACAAGAGGAGAGGGCAGGTCATTTTGAGTATTTAAACAAACTACTGATGCTGTTGTTTTGCTGCCGACGACAGTGTGGGCATGGAGAGTGTTCAGAAGTGACTCTGCAACAGAAAAACAGGATTATGTGGACGTGATCATGGTGAGCGGACCTGTGCAAGGTGCTCCCATTCTCTGTATCACCCCCTCTTAACAAGCTTAGTCTCTCTCTAAGGAGACTCAGCAGTCATGCCTAATCTCTCCCTGCCCAAACAAAACACAGTATTCCCAAGGCCTGGTGTGTGCAGGTGTTCATTTTTCTTTTAAATCATATGACTGCCTGTCCTCTTTCCCTCTTTCTGTTTTTCATTCTCATCTTCAAAATTATTTTAACTGCTCCTCCAGAGCCTTGAGGATTAACAACTCAAATCCCTTTTTCAGGTTTTAAGATAGTTTCAAAACAGATTTATTCTTACCTTCATTTGGCTGTTAGAGGTGGAAAATGCAAATTAAGCATTTGGCAAACAACCTTTAATTACATTTACAGTACCTGACGAGGAAGGACCCCTTGTGGCTGTGTGCTTAATGACAGCTGTATCTTAGAGGCAATGCCAAAATTAGTTTGACACTATAGGTAAATCGTTTAGAGGTGGAGGTTCGGGCACACGGCTGGAGATACAAATCATTAGGCTGTAAGTAAGTAAATAAATGAGATATAAACTGTGTCTGAATCACTCAATAATCACTATATAATCCACCATTTAGAGAATTTGCCATTTTGTAGGGCTGTCTGAGTGTTAAGTTTATGTTTATGTAAATCTTTCATACACTGTACTGTGGACTCATTATATCCCACTGAACTTCTGGAAAAGAAGTGCACAACCGATCGTCACTAACCGAGCAATATGTACCATCATGCATTGCGTACCTGCCATTGTCATGGCACGAATTCCTTTTCACATTTTATGCAGTGACACAGAAGTGTAATATGGAAACAAATGAGCTCCATGGTTAAGTAGGCAATAAACTCTTGAAGTAATCCTTCACATTTCGGTGAATGGTTGCACTTTGTGCCATGGGAATTACCATTGCTAAAACACTCGATGGATTTGAACTGCAATTTTCTCATCCTCCATGAGCCATTTGACAAAGCAACATAATTTGGCGGCTTCTTCTCCAGCCAGATGTCTGCAGGCAGGTCACTTTCTCATTGAGTGTAGCCATTAGCAGCAGACTGATGTAGCAAGTTGATTCCTCGCTCATTCTCATCTGCGACAGCTGAAACCTTTGGATCGCTGACAGATTTTCTCCCAGAGTTCATTTCTACACTGAAGACATCGAGAGACTCTGTGAACTGTTTTCACTTGACAGTCATTTATTTTCAGGTTTCCGTCTGTAATCTGCAAAAATGTATTCGCTTGCAAAAAACTATTTGTGCTAAGTGTACTGCATGCCAACAAATAATACATTATAATTCCTTTATTATATTTATATTTTTAGTAACTCTTGAGGTTCAGTTTGTTGTTTTTCTTGACAAATGTGAAAGTAATGCAGCCTATAAGAAAGCAGGCTCCAGCCACATTTCATTACCGCATAGAAAACAAAAAAACAAACTGTAATACTGACGGTCTGGCACTTCAATATTAAAGCTTGTTTTATTTCAGCTGTAAAAGAAGCAGACACAACAACCTGAGAAAACAACACAGACAGACCGTGTCCATTATTCTAAGAGAGGGGGATAATAATCTCTAAAATTGTTGTTTGCTGGATACGTTGCCAAATAATAACCCATCCATTAAACCTGTCTAGCTTCTCCTCTGTGCAGTCAACAATGTACTCGAATGTCATTCATAGGGACAACAGATGACTCAGATGAAGAGCAGTTAAGACATCAATTGAAAACACCATTAAATCGCCAGTGTCTGGTAGAGGCCTCTAAGCAAGAGCAGCAGAAAGTGCACATTAGATACTGCTATGATTCTTTAAGAGCTTTTGATGTCAAGCCTCTTGCGGTGAGTTATTTTTCTTATTATTTGCATAATTCAAGCGCTGCGAGCAAAAGTACATTGCTGAAAACACAAATGACTAATCCTGTAGGGCACTGGTAATTGTTGGCGTCTTTCTGTGTCTTTTTAAGTTTTATTTTGGGTTTAGAGATCTGGGCGCTCTGGAAGTTTGCCGTTTTCAGACAATGAAACAACTTGTTTGCCATTTAAAAAGTTCACGAAGGTTTAATTTTATCACAATTGCAGAGATGCACTCAATAAAACAAGCTGGTATTTATAGTATTATGCCTTTCGTTGTGAGTCGGAGCGCACAGACAGCCCTGCTTTACTTCCTGCGGAGAGTTTCACTTCACAAAAGTTCATCTGGGGATCAGGATATGAGCAGTAATGAAGATAAATGGATTACTTTAATGTCAAATTGGCATCACATGGCTTCCTAAGGCTCTGTTGGAAATTATATTACAGTTGACAAAATAGACTGAATTACAAAACCCTGTGTGTTTATGTGTAAAGAGTCTGATCGCTGACCTGACTGACTGACCTGCCTCTCGATGTGCGCAGCATGGTTGTTTGTAATGAAGATGAATCAGGTTAATAAAGACATCCTCTTGTCCTTGCTCTGACATTTTATTCCCTCAGTTATCTGTGCTGATACTATTGAATTCCACACACCAATTTCATGTTCAGTGTTTATATGCAAACCTTTTATCAGCATTTTTAACCCACATAGAATAAAATAGACACATACAAGTTTCGGACAACTTTCTTGCTGCTGCTATATCAGACAACAATTATGTAATTCACCTCTGCTCCTCTATTGTGCAACACGGTCATAAGGTCAGTGAGCGAATGTAGCGATTTCAACTCTGACCCCATAACCAGCACTTTGTCTTCTCTGCTGCATTCTTTGTGACTTCCTGTCTCCATGTTTTCCTGTCTGTGTCTGTGTCTGTGTCACAGTGTCACTGTGTGTGTGTGTGTGTGTGTGTGTGTGTGT